GAATTTTAAATAGTTAATTTGATACTAATATTGATATATTTTTGTCAAATTTTTATGATATCTTCAAATTTATATTTTATTCAAAAATAAAAACATCATTGTTTTTTCAAATTCACATAAGACCATATTATAACATCGATTAAGATAAAAAATAAAATAAATATTAAAATCAAGATGTATCTCGTTGTATTGCGCGAGTACCCTTCTAGTATTATTATTGTAAATTTGTGTATGTGGTTGTGCATTTTTGTTCCACTTTGATTCTTTTTATAAACGGTTGTTAACCTTCGTTCATTAAGATCATGTTTACTTATCTTTTTAGTTTATTTTGATCTTATAGTGAAATATTTGAAAGTAAAACCTGAATTTTGATAAGTCTATAAATCGTCTTTGTGGTTCTTATTTTACTCTGAAAATGATCATTGATTACTAACTCCGTTAACAATCTTAGTTAGAGTAAGGGGTGATTTAGTCTTTTTAACCTATTTACTTAAATATCTTTAAATAAATTCTTAAATTAAATATTATATTTTTTAAAATTTATATATTGTTTATTTATTACTATTATATATTATTTTTTTAGGGAAATTTACGTATATAGCTATTTTATAAATAAAAAAATTCATTTTTAGCCATTTTACAACTCTTTCTGAAATAGCCAAAATTTATTTTTTTGGGGGGAGAGAGAAAAATAAAACTTTACGCAAAAATGAGGAAGTTTACACAAAAAAAAAATTACGCAGAAAATTTATTTCATGCGTAAAGTTTTTTGCATAAAGTCCTATTTTTTGCACTAGAAGGGTATTCGCACATGCAGCGAGATGCATCTCGATTTTAATATTTTGTTTTATTTATTTATTTGTCTCGATTGATGTTATAATAGGTTTTATGTGTTTTTGAGAAAGCGATAATGTTTTTATTTTTGAATAAAATATAAATATAAATATATCTAAAAAATTGAAAAAAATTATTGGTATTGGTATCAAACTAACTATTTAAAATTTCAGGTGCTATTTAATACATTTTCAGTTATTAATTAATATTAATTGTCATTTATTATTTATTATATTTAGTCATCGAT